GGAATTCGCTCAGGCATCCAATTACTGCCTTTAAAATTCATCTAAAGATGACCCAAAAAAACACACAGCTCTTTCATACTTTAAGTGAAATGGAGAATGCCAACATGAGGGGGCGGAGGGTGACAAGGGAGGCAATTAATATACATCCCCCAGAGAATTCAGTACAAGATCCTCCTGATGACATACAAAGCCCTCCATAACCTGGCCCCATCCTACCTGACTGACCTCCTCCACAGACACACTCCCACTCGCTCCCCTCCGCTCTGCTACTGCCAACCTCCTGTCCCTCCCCACCCGGACCAACCTCAAGTCCTGGGGCGACAGAGCCTTCTCCGTTGCTGTACCCACCCTCTGGAACTCACTACCCCAATCCGTCAGAGATTCTTCCTCCCTCACAGCATTCAAAACATCACTTAAAACCCACCTGTTCAACACTGCATTCAACCACTGACCACCCCCCTCCCCCCCTATTTTCTGTTCTGTTTATCTCTTTTTGTATTTCTTTGTTATCTATTTTTTCTTTTTTTTCCGTCTTTTTTTCTCCTCTTAATTCTCTGTCAAAGCGTCTTTGAGTTTCATGAAAAGCGCTATAATAAGTCCCATGTATTATTATTATTATTATATATTAATGTATGTTTGTCTGGAGTGAGGTGACACTATAGGGGGAGAGGAGAGGTAGAGAACAGCAGATGAAGAGAAAACCAGTCAGTATTACATTAGACAGAAAGGGTTCGTGGCGTTTCCTTGCTCTAAACCGATTTAGATTTTGAGTACTCTTTTCATTTTCAGCTTTTGAAATAATTGCTGCATTTGCAGAAATGACTGCTTTATGGTTTGAAATTGGTGACAAAGTGGTGAGCGGTGCTCTGAGCCCTGCTAATGCAGGTTTATCTGTGGCAATACACAGGAGGAGCCTTCTTCAAAGGGAAAAAAGAGTTTTGTCTTTCAAAACGTTGTTGCTGCACTCCCAGAGGTGTCACCCATGGCAGAGCCCATCACTTGGCTGGAAAAATGCAATAAAAATACCTTTTTATAATAATTGATTCCAGCAAGGGCATGGTAATTTAGACCATGATATAAATTGGCTTGGTACGGGTCAGTGGAGCAATTGAAGTAATAGGCCATAAATGTGATCAAACCCAAAATAAGCTTCTCATTAGCTTTATTACATTACAACCTTTTGAGACATGGTCAGTTATGGATCTTCATTTGGTTTATGAGTTTATTCCTGGTCAAAAAACAATTACTGCAGCTTTTCCATTACGACTAAATACAGTCTAGACTCTAGACTAATTAGTGCTCATTACAGATGAAAAGACCTTCTAGAGCAAAACCACGGAGCTGTTGTGTCAACAGATGCCTTCAGCATGCTCTGTGAAGTCTCCCCTCTCAACTTGATTAAAAAAGTGTGTTTCTTCCTCTCCGCCTTCTCTGAAAACACCACACTTTTTCCCCTAGTCTTTTCACTTCGCCTCTTTTCATCTGTAGCCTTGATTCACAGCCTACATCACTGATCACTACTTCAAAATATACAACATAGACAAAAAAAGGCTTGGAGTTCATCTTAACATGGAGTTACAATTGTAGCTAACTAAGAAGATAGCTAGATAACCATATAACCCTTAAGCAATATTGTGTGATATTAATGCTGACTGTCTGATGTTATTTTGCTAATACTAAACAGAACTGGCTTACCGCCATGTTCTGTTCAATACTTCGGCTCTCAGAGACACAGATTTTTTTCTCAGGAGTTAGGGGATGAAACAAGAGGCATACACACGAGTAAATGTCGGACTTGCAATCGACCAGTGGTGCAAAAGAAGATAAGTCAATGTTGCTCTGATTCTGCTAGCTGAGTGAATAATGTTCAAAGCTTGGGAAAAAGGGATAAATCGACATATTTCAGATCAGTTGCTGAATGCTGACTAACCACGGCCTCAGAGATTTCCACAGAATTTGTTCAACACTTGTTCAACTCTATCCAAGGCTCATAGACATTGTTCTTATAAATCTTCCAAATCTGAACTCCAGAGTAGTGGACACCTGTATTATGTTCAGTCAACTTGTACTCCTTTTCCTCTGCAGTACAGATCTAATTGCAACCAACAGTCTCTAGCAGCAAAAGGAAATTGGATCTTGTGGGCTGACATATTTGAATTGTTACATCGGCGTGGTTTTCCATGATGATATTCCCATATTGCAATAGTGGTGTTCCCCGTTTTAAAGTCATCCACCATTTGTTTTATGAACATTTGGATAAAGCTGTTCCCTGGTCTCCCAGTCACTACATCCCACCACCAACGAAGCATTACTGGGCATGTTAGAACATTTCTTCTGTCCGCCCACATTTCATATAGCTCTGCTACATCTCCATCTTCACGACTATTAGTGACTTCAGTTATGCTGTGACGTAACTGGTTTTCTTTTCGAATCACTGATTTTGTTTCCCCTTTGGAAGACGCAATATGGGGATATTGGGCGATGTGTGTGTGTGTGTGTGTAAGGGGGGTTGACAGCACTGCTCTTACATTACTTCCTTTTTTTCTATCAGTGAGGAGTGTAGCAGGGGGAAGGAAGAGGAACTTATCTGTGGGCCTTTCATGCCACAGTGATCCCAAGTAATCTAATTCAGCCTTCCTCTTTCTCGCTTGTGTGCTTCTTATATTGGTGCATGCAGATTGAAAAAAGCTGTGTGTGTGTGTGTGTGTGTGTGTGTGTGTGTGTGTGTGTGTGTGTGTGTGTGTGTGTGTGTGTGTGTGAGAGAGAGAGTGTATAAGAGTGAGGAGACAGAAAAGAGGACAGAAGGAGACAGACAGAGTTAATGAGTGCTGAATGTGTCTGCATGAGTATTTGTGTTGTGTGTTAAGTACCATGGGGTGGCTGGGGATGATGTACACCTTGGGAAGTTGTCTGTGCGGAAGAAGCACTTGGACAAAAATGAATTTGAAAAGCGAAGAGAAAGTCTCATGATGGAGTAAAAATAAAATAAGTCTTAAATAATCAACGTCTTTTCAAAAAAGGCTGAAGATGTAAATGTTTCAAAATATCAACACATTCTGACATGATAGCAGCTAATTCACTGAATCACTGACAGGTCCTCTAAAAGAATAGCTAATCAATGTAAGGAACAGGCTAAATGAAGTCTTTCTGCACAGCCAGGTCACACACACAGTTTAATACACATCTTAATCTCATGAGACGCTCCTACCTAAATAACTCTGTCCCTAATTTATGTAATCCTAGTTTAGCAAATCATTCTAATATCAGGTTAATTGAGATGGATTTTTGCCACTGTAATGATTTATAGTGAGCCATTAAAATCCCTTCTTTTATGAAAAAATGGAGCAGGTTGATTGAAGAAATGCTTGTTAGATTTTGAAGGGTTGGACACTTATTTTACAAAAACAATACAGGTGACTTTTTCTCTCCTTCATCATACCATTGAAAATAAAGTTAAATAAACAGGATTTTATTCAAAACGTGTTTTCCTTATCCAGACAATAGTGAATTATGGTCAATTATTTTTTAAGTAGAGATTTTGAGGGATAACAATGTGAATCAAAGTTGCAATACTTTTGTCAGTGGAAGATGTAAAAGCAAACTATGTATTCCTAGAGAAAAGGAAGCAGGCTGCCGATTAATCAGTGACATGAAAAAGATGTGAGAGAAGGAACTCGAACAATACTGCAGCATTAAACACATAGCTTCAATTATCCTGAGAATGGATCAGTGGGTGAGGCTGCGCCGCATTCCTCTGAATCAAGGAACAGCCACCCACATGCATCTATCATCCACACAGCTACGGGCAATACTTAGAGAATAACACTGACACAACAGTCAGGTCTTTATCATGCAGATCAGAAGCACCGAAATAAAAAATGAATGCTATTTTTGTTTTAGCAATCAGCGCTGAGGTGGCAGTATGCTTTCTCTTAAGTCGACACACTTTGATGTTGCTCATTTGTTCACCTGAATGTTCTTGATCTAAATCAGAAGCAGTGCACTCTGGGTCGCTGTACAAAACTCGCAATGTGAAGTTCTATAGGGGGAGCTTGGCTTAATCTACACAGAGTACTGCGCCTCGCTCTGGGCTCCCCTCAGGCCAGAGCCAGACTGCTGACCCATCTGAGGCCTGCTGGGAGCCAGAGAGGCTTCTAGCAAAGTCTGCGAGCACAGACCCACGCCATCGCTCTGCCTTTTTTATCCAAGCAGCAGTACGTGGAGAAAGTAATCAGATCCTTTACTTAAGTAAATATAGCAATATGACAGTGTAAAAGGTCTTTGTTACAAATACACATGCAGGTAAACTTACATTATAACATCAAAATAAAATATATTTTTAAAAAGGTTATATATGTACTGTATGACTCAGTATGCAGGATGGCCACTCAGAGTGTTTTGGGGTAAATGATTGCAGAATATTGATTTTGTAGCTGGATATGGTCAAACTAATTGCACTTTTTTGTATATTGTTGAGTAGTGTAGGAGTTATTCAAGAAAATGTTTGAGTGTTTGGCTTATTTTGATTTGTTTTCAAAAGATTGGATAGCACTAAAAGCACCTCTGGTGTGTGTAGGCAGGCAGGTCCAGGACCTTTTTAGAAACTAATCACATATTTTGTGAAATCCTAATCCTAAATAATTTAAACTTGACATCAATTTATGAATACATGTGCATGTAGTATTTTTAGGCCAGAATATTTTACTCAGCAAGGTGTAAAAGCAAACATCCTTGGAGCTCAGCATGCTATGATGTTGTACTTAAATTCTTAATTGAACATCTTCTAAAAACATATGACTAGTTTGAGAATACATTCATGTTCCTCCCCAAGACTTCAACCAGACATGATTACAAGTGCAGAAAGGTATTTCAATTATGTGTTGAAAGAAAATATATGCAAATGTCCACTTGAAGTGTAAATTAAAGAATGTTGTGCTCGACATTTCACAGTGCAGCCATCTCTCTGGGAGTGGCAGTGTGCTGGAAGCGGCCTCACTCACCATGGCCAGTGGCACGATGCCCGCCAGGTCCTCCTGCGCCAGCTTGATCTCCGTCTCAGCCTCTTGTGTGGCAGCACGACTGGACGGGTACTCCACCTGCCAGGCCATCCATCGGCTGCCCAGCGGCTCCGGAAAGCTTTCCATTTTCAGATCCACCTGGAGCACCCTCTGAACTCCCATTTCAGACCTGCCAGATAACAGTAAAAAAGTGTCAATGAATGGTTAAGCAGATGGCTGAGCGAGAGTTGAAAAAGGTACAGCATGTGTGGATGTGCTTGTGTTCCTGAGCTTATTCCACTGCTTAAATGACGGCAAAAAGCTAAAGCTGATGAATGTGCCTGTGGTTGAAATCTATATTTTACCAACTGAGATTCTTCAAAATGTCAGGTCTCTGTGTGTTTGCCTCCCTGGTCAACATGTGATGGAATAATATCGCACCACCTTTTTCTATATTCCACTCACAATTTTCCAAATTGATATGCACTGTAAATAGAGCAATAATTTCATGGCTGGATCACAGGGAAGTTCAAAGGTATGCTTCAGCAGGCGTCACCCCCGCTAAGGTGTTGATGTTGGGCTTCGTCACCGGTGCCCTTGTTTGCCGTACTAGAGCGTAAATAAATGACACATTTTGGCACGATCTAAGGCAGGCCCGAACTAAGTCAGACAAATTGAGAGCGTTGATAATAAAATGTCCCCGTAGCGCTATAAGTCTCTGGTGCTCAGTTTAAATAAAGCCTGGAGGCAGAAAAGGTCAGCTTTACACGGGAGCCGGAGGAGATGGGAAATGGCACAAGATCTGCTAGCCACATCTTGCGTGTCAAATGGCGGGACTTGGGGCCAATACATTTCATGCATGGTCTCTGTGGCACACTGGCACAAAACAGCAGCGTGTAATTTGAACATGGTGAGGGGGAGAGAGACAGAGAAGAGGAAAGATGAATAAATCCACATAGTATTTAGTTTGGAGAGAGAGGGGGCATACAGTATAACATGTATCAAATACTGTAAAGCACAAGGCAGAAAAAAGATAACTTACATTCTAAATTCAGAAGTAGAATAAACAAAACATTGCCATAAAACAGATTATTCATGTGAGAAAGTCAACAGAGCAAATGTATGACACCTAAATTATAAATAGGAGACTAAAAACAGTAAAACAATAAATAATGGAAAATGTTGTATCCAGTGCTCTCATATTCACGTAGGTCTGACACTATTTCCACATCATACTCATTGTATTCAGTTTTATTCTGAAAGAATGAAAGATGTGTTGTGCAGCAGAACACAACAACCCAATTTTCACATCCAACAGAGGTATGTATGAATAATTAAGATGACAACCAAATAACTTGAGTCACATTTCATAACAGCGTTCCAATCAGAGCACCGAGCAACTGAAGGCGTAGTACGACATCATGGACTTACATAACCCGTCCCACAATGCTTTGGGAAAAGACAGATGCTAATCTCAGGCCGGTAAAAACCGGAGGTTCATCAGGCAAACAGATGATGCTCTGAACGTCCAGAAATAAACATTTGAGAGTTTTTAGAGTCAGTGAGCGCCACACAGGACCTGTGTCAGCCATCAGCAGAAATGGCCTACTTTCTACAGCACACGCACACTTTTGCTCCGGAAAATACACACTTTAGGCATGCAATTAGAAAGACAGGCAAAAGAATGAAAGAGACTGCACAGCACAAATGTTTCATTATACACCACCAAGTACATGAGCTAAACTCCCACCTTCACAAAATTAAAGAGCCTCAAGATAAAGACAGAAAAGTTGACTGATATTTGCTTTTCCTCCCCCTTCAGAAATGTCAATTATTTCCCTCCTCGCATCAAGTTGGCAGAGTTAAATAGCAGCTGCGAAAGTTATTAAATGTCATGAATTTTATTTTATTCCATCTTAGAATAGAAATGGCAGAGAATTTAGATTATAAGAATTGACATCGTAGGTTAAAATTAGACCCTCTGCTTTATTTTAACATGGAGACAAACTGTTTGTATTTTTTGTGACAGAAATATCCAACTTCAAAAGATGACAGCAATATAAAAACAAGGGAAAGTGAAGGCAAGGAAAGAAAAGGATCTTAGGCTAGTGCAAAGTTGAGATCAATACAAAGCGAAGACATTCAAAGACATGCAAACTATGAATGGCAGAGTGGAGAACAAGTGAGTTTGCAATATAGTAAAACATGTAAAAGCATTATATAATAAAGAAATAACATGTTATAAGTAGTTCATTTATTGCATTTTTTATGGTGACTTAAAACCAAAGCTGCTGTAGGTTGTATATCAAGCTAGCCAATAAATTGAAAGGTGAACAAGAGTGAACAATGAACATTTGGTCTCTTTAACTCGTGGTAAAAACTTGGCAGCAGTTTTATTTTATTGTCCGCTGCGCTTGCCCCCCATTGAGACACGTCTCAAAATGAAACCTGACAGAAGCGTGAGTGTCGGGGGGGAATAAGACTTTGATGCTTTACACCAGAGTGCCACCCTGAGCCGACCTGCCCTCTTTAAAGTCTGCTAATCGCACAGATCGCTGCGGGAAACTGTTCATTTCTCTGTCACTTCCAGCATGGGGTCTAATTCAATTAGCAGCAAAGGGCCCATGGATGCGTACCACACAGCTGGTCACAGCCTGATAATTATCTGTAAACTAGCTGTGGTTCGGCTGAATCTGAGGCCAGACAGACGACCAAAGGCAATAGAGAGGGGCTCAGTAGATAACAGGCCCTAAAGTTGGAAGCAGCTGGCCCTTTGGCTTTGGAGACCAAAATGGAGAGCGAATCAGACTTGACGGTGCTGCCCGAGACCGCTGACAGCTGACTCCCTGAGAGTAGCAGAGAGATGGCTGTGAAGATGCTGTTTAGGCACATTCAGGATGCACATTCATCACCACGACACCAGCAGATCTGTTCGATACGCAGTGACACACAATGAAACATGAGTGCATAGCTTGGCATCAAAATGTGAAAAGCAGCAATAATAATAATAATTCCTTACATTTATTATAGCGCTTTTTCAATGACTCAAAGCGCTTTACATATACACACATTACACATATATCATACATGCAATGGTCAGATACTGTGGACAATACCCACAGGAGCAAGTTCAGGTGAAGTGTCTTGCCCAAGGACACACCGGCTTTACAGACGCAGCAGCGGCGGGTTTCACCCCTTGATCTGATGATCATTGCACAGCGCACTGCGCCACACCGTCCATCTTCACGCCTCAAGGTCATCGAGGCGCTTTTACAAGTACACATTGGTATTATACATGTACTGTGGACAATACCCACAGGAGCAAATCCGGGTGAAGTGTCTTGCCCAAGGACACAACGGCCTGAAGGATAACACAAAGCATGAATCCCTGGTTAGTTGTGAATATTATTGATATGTTTGTTATCTGTTGATTGTATCAACAGATATTTTGAGTGAGGCGTGTGGCGCAATGGATAGAGCCTTGTTGTTTGGATCAGGGGGTCACAGGTTCCACTGCAGTCAGCATGTCGTTGTGTCCCTGGGCAAGACACTTCACCCCAAGTTGCTCCTGTGGGGATTGCCCACAGTATTGAGTATGTAAGTCGCTTTGGATAAAAAGCGTCTAACAAGTGACATGTAATGTAATGTATCCTATAAATTATGTTAAATGTTAAAATGTTATGTTAAATTAAAATATGTTTATAATCAACATGATCAAAGCAAGGATCTGTTTAGGATGCTATATGTAGTATTTCTATATATCAAAATTAATTTTCAGTTTCTTGCTTAGAGTTAGAGGAGAAGTTTGATAGCACCCTCAGAAACAGCTCTTGGTCTAAAGTGTCCTGAAATGTCCAACCATTGCTTTAATCATTTGATCTATACATGCTGAAAAATACACATCACAAACTCCTACAGCACAGGGTGATGTCTTTGAATAGCTTGTTTTGCCTGGCTAACAGCCCAAAGGCTTCAGAAATTCAATTTCTTATGATAAATAACAGCAAACACTGAACATTGAGAGAATGAAATGGAGTTCAAAGATCTGGATGAAGCAAAGTCTGTCACCAAATATATTTAATTTTTGCCAATGAGTTGTCTTACACTCTGTTCATTTAAACGTTTAGCCAATTATCTAAATAGTTGCTGATTTGTGTCTATCATATTGACTTACCTAGTATTGGTTCCTATCTGCAATTATCAAAAGGTCACAAGGTGTCAGCAGGTAGCTTTCAAGTTCACACAAATATTTTAACTTGGCATAACATCTTCCACATGTCCTTTCCTAAGTATCGTCAACAAATCCAAACTTCCATTGATCGGCTGTCGTCTCTTACTACACAGTCCAAAAAGCTCTTTGCAGAGGTGATTCAGCTCCATCTTATCTTGATGAAAAACTTTAGAGCGCTATTGAATTTAGACTGCAAGAAGGTTAAAGAAAGATAGATTTAAATGTCAAAATGAACAAACAGAAAAAGGAAAAAGTTATTGGAAGAGTTTCCTTTTTAGCAGATTTCAATGGAGAAATAGCTGTAATTGAAAGAGCTTATTTTGTGCCATTATCAAACTCACTGTGTCAATGTGACACTCCTTGTTTAATCTCTCCCTGATGTGGTAGGATCCGTGTGCCCACTGTCGCGCCTGATGGGGATTAGAGAATGAGAGAGAGATACACATAGAGTCTTTGAAAAAAGTGCCATTTTCAGGTCCAATTTAGTCATTTCTCAGCTTGTACATCAAGTATTCTAGACATCCATCTTCTTCACATAATTGTAACATTGTAATAACAGAAACATTTCTGAGCTCAGGCCAGAGTTGTGCATGTTTTATGTATAACATACATGACGCAAGATGTTGAGTACATACCACGAAGGGCCATAACTGTTACTGTGGGTGAAGCAAGCAGGACCCAAATGCAGATTACACTGATATTGCCTTTATTTCAAGGATAAAATAATAACTTGGACAAAACAGAACACTCACTGGTGAACTCAGTCACAAACAAAAGACGAACCAACACTGACAACAGGAAGAGACAAGACTAAATACAGGGAGGGGTAATCACGAGACGAGAAACAGCCGGGCAGGGGAGGAGAAACACAAGGGCCACAGGTGAACACAATCAGACAATTAGACACACCAGGGAAACTAACGACAAGGAGGAAAAACACAGAGGCCCTTTCTCATTTC